ACAAAGATGGATATTTCACTAATGATGATGTGATTCAGCAAGCATCGCAGGCCATGGAGATATTACAGGCACGCTACCCGAACGACAAACATGTTTTTGTCTTTGACAATGCTCGGACTCATTCTAAGCGTGCTGACGATGCATTATCAGCTGTCAAAATCCCAAGAAATCCCAAGCCATGGGGAGTTCCTGTTGCCTTGCGCGACGATAGTGGCTCAATCATTTATGGTCCAGATGGAAAGCCCCGCATGACTACCAAGCACATGGCTGATACAATGTTCAATGGGCAATCACAGCAACTTTATTACCCTGATGACCACCCACAGTATCCTGGGTATTTCAAAGGCATGGCCCAGATTCTTACTGAGCGGGGCTATGACACAACTCACTTGCGTGCCCAATGCGAGAAATTCAAGTGCCGAGCCAGTGCAAGCCAATGCTGCTGCCGCAATATTCTTTTTCACTCCGATGATTTCATCAACATCAAAACCCTTCTTGAAACCCATTGCGAAGCAGCTGGTTTTGATGTGCTTTTTCTCCCTAAGTTCCACTGTGAACTGAATTTTATTGAACAAGTCTGGGGATATGCAAAGCGGGTTTATCGTGAATCTTCCCCATCATCAAAGATCGGAGATGTGGAGATTAATGCCAAAAATGCGTTGGACTCGGTGTCTTTACTCTCAATCCGGAGGTATGTACTCAGTGGAATTTCAGGATTAAAATTGCTGATTATTCTCAGGTTTGCAAACCGCTCACTCCGCTATATGGACACATATCGAAAGGGTCTTGATGGGCGAGAAGCAGCATGGGCAGTGAAAAAATATCGGGGACATCGCCAAATTCCAGCCGAGGCAATGCAGGAAATGATACAGGAACTCATGATAGTAAGAAAGCAGGTTGTATATACTTCACATTAATCAGTCGAGCCACAAATGTTTGCCGCGTACAGCCACACCGGACCTTGCCGGGATAGTGATCACTTATGTATGCTCCCTACCTTAGCCTGGATAGGCCATAAGCAGTCATATTCACCGCTTTTCTCACCTTAGCCTCTTTGGATGGGTGGTGTTTCCAAAACGAGGTCAGGATGTATTTCATTCCTGCCTCTTTGATAACGCCAGGCATCTGAACCATTCATCCAGTTCAGATACAGATGGTTTATGTCCGGGCACAAACTTCATCTCATAGAATTGAGCATGTCAAGCATGCACTTCTGGTGGGGCATTATCAATGCCATTCACAGCGTGTTTGTCGATCCAGTTAAGGTCGATAAGGAATTTGAACCCATTGGGGGTGTTCAGGAATGGGAGCACGAAATGGGTCCATTGCCATTGGTGAATATCATTTTGGCCCTGCGTAACCCATAGTTGACCGCAGATAACGACTCCATCCTGGAAATCGTTAATGGAGAACGACCCTGGAATAGGGACATTTCGCCACATCCCAGTGGAAGGTTGGCAACTCTGGTCCGGCAATTGGAACCATGAGTACTCCGAGGGGATAAGGCCACAATTATCGTTGTTTGGGGTGGTGTCAGAGACCAGACTCGAGACGAAGGAATGTCTCCGTAATGGAGGGCTTTGGCCTCAGCGACTTCTGCCAAGAGCACTGTGCCTAGTGACACGTCCATGCCCTAACTTACTGACTGGCAATTAGAACCTAGGGGGGTAACTCTAGTTGATTTTACTACTGGGGCATAACCTATGTACAAGTGGGATATATATATGGTTACAGCGGAGACGGTTCCACAATTGGCGGAGCCGAACGGAGCGGAGCTAACGTGGTTGAAACATTAGCTGTCACGGCCCCGCAAAGTCCCCGCCCCTCTACCACTTTCTGCACCCCCATTCTTACGCCGTTACTCGCGCCGTTAATCTCGCCATTGCCCATCACTTAGCGGCGCCGATAGTGGTTCCCGTTCTACGGCCCCGTAGCAGCGCCTCCTTCGTTTTCCCGCCACCACTTGGGTTCCTCAACCATTCGGCCGGTATCGTTTTATTCTATTCACTCGCTTAACTAACTAGCGGTTGTTATGGTCGCCGTTGATCCGCTCCTTATGGACATTCCTTATTGACAATTGATTATTCCTTTATTGATATTTGATTTATACGTATATTGACATTCTGACCCGCGCGCCTAGATTGTCGGCTTATCCTTTCTGCCTCCCAACTTCGCCGTTCTCTGTCCCATTCATCTCTTCTGTTCCATTACCCTGGTCCTCATCGCTCTTTAGTTCTGTCGTACTTATCATCTCGTTCCCGTCCCGCGCCGGACCGACCGGTCCCTTCTCTGTTCTCCTTTCCTATTTATACTTGTAGTTTACTGTCGATGTACCTCAGTTCGAATATCGACTAGAATTCCCCCAAGTACTTTCATCTTAAGTTCGCCCCTCAGCTTCATCCCGCTTAAGTCAACGTCGCCGCAAGGTCCTTCCCGCTAACGTGAAACACGGGACAGCCTAGAACGCGTGGCGCAACGCTCTGGCAAAGTCGTTGAAGCCAAAGTCCCAACCCCCCTCGACGCCTTGCAACGGAGTAGCTCATTAGCTAAGTGACCACTTACGCCGCCGTACTCCGCCCCGCTTCCCGCGATCCCCTCGAACATAGTTTCTGACATTAGCCGACTGAATATTACCGACGAGTCGGTTCGCGGGGTTAGCGGAAAGGCAGGCGTTAACCCAGAAATGGAAAGGAGGGATAGGCCCGAAGGTGGGCTCTGCAGGGCAGGCGAGTGTATTGCCCAGCAGAGGCGGGGGTGTGCTAGCGGACGTCGGAGCTGTCCGGAAGTCTTCGGGGCTCCGTACTTAGGGAGGCGTAGGTAATAAATTGAAATGAGGGGGTGGTGACCATCGAGGGGTACTGAGAGGTTTGCGGAATACGGGGGCTCCGAGGTTGGTGAGAGAGGAGTGGAGTTAGAATGGAGGGAACGGAGGGACTGGAAGTCGATGGCCAGGGATGGATATGACAGGTGGGCCCTTGAGGTCCCGGGGGAATAGGAGCAGCGAGAGGGCCATAATGGCCATCTATTAGTTTCAAAAAAGGCACCTGCGTCCCCTTAGGGGGCACCGGTTGAGACGCACGGTTGTGTACCGATATGTTAGACGATGTCAGAGGGGCTCCTTGGGCCCTCTTTGGGGGTCCCAGTACCATGGCATCCCACATGACTGGTGCCTTAAAGGGGACTTTTCGAGGCTGGGCATCCTTACTTCCGCAGAGAGGTCATTGACCTGTTTTTCAAGGTCATCGCTCTTGTGGTGAAGGTAGTCTCTATGACAAGAGACATCTTTCAATGCATGATGTCATATCCATCCATGGCCATCGACTTCCACTACCTCCGATCTCTCCGGACTACCTCCACTCCTTCACTAACCTCAGAGCTCCCATATTCCACAATCACCTCTGCTTCCCTCAATGGTCACCACCCCCTCTTTTCAATATATTACCTATGCCTCCCTAAGTACAGAGCCCTGAAGGCTTCCAGACAGCTCCGACATCTGCTAGCACACTCCCACCTCCACTGGGCAATTCACTCACTTGCCCTGCAAGCCCACCTTCAGGCCTGTCCCTCCTTTCCGTTTCTGGGTTATCGCCTGCCATTCTGCTAACCCCATAACCCGACTTGTCAGTAATATTCAATCGGCTAATGTTTAACTCCATTAGCTCTGCTCCGCTCCGCCCCACCATTCATGGGCCTGCCCTCACTGTAACTATATATATATACTTAACTTGTACATAGGTTACACCTCAGTAATAAAATCGACTAGAGTTGATCCCCCTTAGTTCTTGTTGCCAGTAAGCAAATTAGGGCACGGACGTGTAACTTGGCACAGCGCTCCTGGCTTGAGTTGCTGAGGCCAAAGCCCTCCATCATGGAGACAATTCCTTTGTCTCGATCTGGTCTCTGACACATGATCAAGTTTCACTGCCTCAATCTTTACGTTAAAAAGTTCCTCATGAAGCGAGGTGTTTTCTTCATGTAGTTGATGGGTCGCTTCCCAGGACTGGTGTCATATCCATACAATCCCGACCTCCGCTCCGGGCTCCCGGAACTCCGAACCCGACTTCTGGAGTCTTACTTCCCTTCCGTCACCTTCTCCTTGCCGACTCCCAAGAGGTTATCCCACCTCCGGCTCGGACACCACCTTTGGTCCAACTCCGGAACATTCCGGGTCCGACCCCAACCTCAACACCTTCCAGACGAGTACGCAAAACCTAAGCTCCTGACTCCGGACCTCCACTCCGGAATCCCATTCGCGTCTCTGTCTCCGGAACCTCCGGTCTTAGCTCCGACCTCGGACTTTGACCCCACCTCCGCTTATACCCATTGTATTGGTTAGCTCATTCCATTTAATTATGTTTGCCAATATTCCGGAGTTTAACTTCCGAGTTCGGACTTTCCGGACTTACTCCGGACCTTGCAACTATTGCATTGTCCATTTCAATTCCGCTATTCTCCCTCACTCCTATTTGGGCTGCTGCTTCCTTTCTATTCAGTCAGCTGGCCATTCCCCACTCCCAACCTCCTTCCTTCCTCCTTGGGCCTTGGCCCTTCATTCCTCCTTTGGGAAACACCATTGAGTCAAACACTTGACCCTCAGTGTTGTTCCTCTTTCCATCTCCCTTTGTCTCCTTTTGTCCTACCCTTGTTCCTTTTGATTCCGGACCCCTCCTTATATACAATGTACCTAGTAACTTGTAACCTCAGTCCGAAATTGACATGAATTCCCCCAAGAGACTTTCCCTCTGCTAGATCCGAAATTAGGGACCCCTAGGACAACCAGCAATGGCACAGCGCTCCGCCTGAGTCACTGAGGCCGAGGTCCTTCCACGCTAAGTCTCCGATTCCATTCCGGAGTCGTCCGAATCCGCCCATTCTAATAACTGGGATAGCTTGCCATTGATCAGGCGAGTGCGTTTGTTAACTCCCTTAAGGAGCTGACTGAGTATTCCATCAGTCAAATATGCAGCCAAAGCTTGCATCATTTCTGGAGGCAATTGGCCTCAGGGCGCATTGGGGTTATAAACCCACATATTCTGCCCAAAATTAGGAAAAGATGGGCCCAACGCGGCCGTCATCATATCTGGGACATAGTTTTGCCCCACTTGACCCATCATTTGGGTATCTAATGGTGGGCAAGCCACTTGGGTTTGAGGTGGAATGTACTCACCATGGATAGGTGAGGGGTGGCCCGATACTGATGGTATCAGCTGTTGTTTTGTAGTCTGAGTGTTGGGAGTGCCATTAGGGTCTGACAGGTGATTGCCAGATATTGATGGCTGTTGCTCAGGGACCGCATTCGATTCAGGTAGGTCAGTGTCCATTGCACCACTAGTAACCGAGGGGCTTTGCCTGCGGTTATTTGAGCCATCCTTATCTTTGTCAAAGACACCATCCATTGATTCAGACATAGACAAGCGGGAGAACGAAATGAAATGGGGGGAAGCAGTTTCTTCCACCCCTCAGCAATATATATGGAAGAAGGAGGCAAAATTTTTCACCATGGGAACAACCCTGCCTCCGCAGAGGCAATGTCCCAATTTGGCAGTTAGTGCCAAAGGCGGCCTTCGTAAGGTCGCAGGACCAGTCCTATATGGGTGGCTCATTTAGGACGCTTGGAACAGGGAGTTTTAAGGGTCCCTTGTGTAATGGGAGTAGGAAATTGGCTTTCCTTACTCAAGCTTTTGACTGCTTCTACTCCATGTATTATTAGGTAGTTATCCAATGCAACTAATTCCTCACAATTGGATAAGGGTTCCCAAGTAAGATCTCCAAGACCCCACTTGACACAGAACCACAGACCACCATCTGTGTCCCATGTGTGGTCCAATATTTCTTGGACCAAATATTCCCGCTCTGGATCCTCGCCGAAGTCATAGAAGACTTGGGCCGCACATCCCAGGAATAGCAAGGAATTGTTTGGCTCGTGGGGAGCCAGATGAGAGACATGAAACTTGGGGTGGATTCCCCAGCTAATTAACTCATTTGGGAGTTTTAAGGTGTAATTAGAAGATTCCTCAAAAGCTTCGAGGATCTCATATGGCCCAACATAATTAGGGAGGAGTTTCTTGGCTCGTCCCTTGGGTAGGTTGAGGTCCTTGGTCGATAAATAGGCGAGGTCACCGATTCTCAGTCTAGGCGGATCAGGTCACCTATGCCGATTGGCCTTGTTAGAACTTGTGGATTCGGACAACTCCGGAGTGGAATCGGAGACTTAGCGTGGAAGGACCTTGGCCTCAGCGACTCAGGCGGAGCGCTGTGCCATTGCTGTTTGTCCATTTGGTCCTTAATTTCACAGTAGGTGAGCAGGAAGTCTCTAGGGGGCATTTCAGGTCGATTTCGGACTGAGGTTACAAGTTACTAGGTACATTGTATATAAGGAGGGGTCCGGAATCAAAAGGAACAAGGGTAGGACAAAAGGAGACAAAGGGAGATGGAAAGAGGAACAACACCGAGGGTCAAGTGTTTGACTCAATGGTGTTTCCCAAAGGAGGAATGAAGGGCCAAGGCCCAAGGAGGAAGGAAGGAGGATGGGAGTCGGGAATGGCTAGCTGACTGAATAGAAGGAAGCAGCAGCCCAAATAGGAATGAGGGAGAATAGCGGAATTGAAATGGACAATGCAATAGTTGCAAGGTCCGAGGCAAGTCCGGAAAGTCCGAACTCGGAAGTTAAACTCCGGAATATTGGCAAACATAATTAAATGGAATGAGCTAACCAATACAATGGGTATAAGCGGAGGTGGGGTCAAAGTCCAAGGTCGGAGCTAAGACCGGAGGTTCCGGAGACGGAGATGCGAATGGGATTCCGGAGCAGAGGTCCGGAGTCAGGAGCTTAGGTTTTGCATACTCATCTGGAAGGTGTTGAGGTTGGGGTCGGACCCGGAATGTTCCGGAGTTGGACCAAAGGTGGTGTCCGAGCCGGAGGTGGGATAACCTCTTGGGAGTCGGCAAGGGGAAGGTGACGGAAGGGAAGTAGGGCTCTGGAAGTCGGAGTTCAGAGTTCCAGGAGCCCGGAGCGGAGGTCAGGATTGTATGGATATGACAGGCCTGGACCAGTTGTTCAACATGGCTTTTTATGATCACATCATGAGCGCCTTGGAGGTTATCCAACGCCTGTTGTGTGAAGGCACCTACCCCAGGAAGGTCTGTGGGTGGAACCTCTACAACCATATGGGGCATAGTCCCGTATATCAACTTGAAGGGAGCATATCCTGTCGATTTATTGACGCTTGAGTTTATTGCAAACTCGGCAAGGGGTACTTTAAGTACCCAGTCATGCTGGTCAGGATGAACAGCTGCACAAATGACTTGGACGACATTCTGTACCATCCGCTCAGCCTGTCCATCGCCCTCCAGATGGAAAGCGGTTGTTAATTTCAGACAGACCCCCAGTAGCCTATGTAGTTCCATCCGAAATTTAGATGTGAATTTAGTGTCGCAATCTGACACTATTGACTTTGGGAGTCCGTGGAGGCATACCATGCCTTTAAGAAATTCATATGCGAGTTCCAACGCATTTATGGTCATCTTGACAGGTATCAAGTGTACCTGTGAAGTGAGACGACAGATAACCACCCATAGGTAGTTATATTCCAGGCTTTTAGGAAATGGACCTACGAAGTCCATTGCGATTGAGGACCACAGGGTCTCTGGAATCGGCAGCTGGTGCAACAGCCCAGGCTTACGCTGTGTGGTCCTCTTAGTGGCCCAACACCTTCCGCATGAGGAGACATACTTCTCCACATCACATACCATAGTAGACCACCAGTAATATCTGTGAAGATATCCTAGTGTCTTCTGTAATCCTAGATGGCCCAGGATTTCGTGTGCGTTCTGAATGGTGATCCCAGTCACCCTCTCCCCTTTATGAATGATGTCCAGGAGAACCAGTTGCGGTTCCCCTAAGTCATTCACCCTGGAAATAAGGCTGTCTGAGACCTTAAATTTAGGAAATTCTCCAGGATTCCTCACCATGCATTCTGCCTGGAATATCCGCTCCTTACAGCGACAAGGAAGCTCTCCTCCTCAATGACTGATCTGAGGTCTCCCTCGTCAGTTACTATGTCCACGAGCATCAGCTCACTCCTCCCTGAATTGTTCTCAGGGGGGTCTAAGATTGTGGCTTCAAGCTCATGAACTTCGCTGGTTTCATGTCCAGCAACCAATCTCGTGGCCGCAAGGTGGATGCTTCCAGCTCTCAGGCAGTGAAGATACAACATTTCCTCAGCTTCCTCCACATGGCTTAGAGGGAGATCCTCCCCCAGCTTATCTAGTGGATGTCCACTGAGACGAAATCATCATAGTGTAAGTCTTTGTCTGATGAAGACTCTGTCAGGGACACGTCCAGGGTGGAGGGGGCCCGGATGTAGCGCCTGGCAGAGGGACCCTCTCGGGGCACGAAGCGAGCATGCATGCTGGCAGGCCCGATGTGGGACAGCAGTCCCTGGCCACTTACACTGAAGTGGAAAAGGTGAATTATTATTGAAAGGGAAAACTATGCTAGCTTACCTGAAGTGGAAAAGGTGAGAAGAAGGTTACTTCTTCGGTTCCCACTTCAGGTACATTTATGTACATGCGGCTTGAGTCACATGATGGGTGCCACATCATCCTCGGAGACAGCCACAGCCATCCAGGTGTCCCCGTGGAGGATCCCAAGGGCATCCAGTGCAGGCATGCATGCTGGGCACAGCGGGGAGCCATCTGGGGTGTCTGGACCGGACGGGTCAATAGTACATTGATGCAAGGGAAAGTGGTCCATGTAAATAGAATGAATAAACAGGAAGAGAATGGTGGAAAGAGTGAAATAAAGAGAAGGGAAGAAAGAGGAAAAGAAAGGGAGAGAGAAAGAACGAAAGGGGAGGAGGAAGGGGAAGGATGGGCAGTGGGGTAGTGGGAGAGGTGTGACTGGGTGGACCGGGTGGACCTGGGTCAGGCGGGTGTGCCCTGACAGACTCATAGTATCTGCTAAGGGCATTGGCCACTTTATTCTTGTGGCCTTTGACATAAACTATGTCACATTTAAACCCATAGAAGAATTTTTGCCATCTTATATGGTGGCCAGATGTGTGTTGTTTTTCTGTGAAGTATGTGAGTGCTTTATGGTCTGTAACAACCATAAATTTCCGCCCCCCTGTAAGCTCATCCATCCACTTGGATAGAGCTTCCGGTACTCCCAAAGCTTCAAGTTCGTACCCAAAGTACGAACGCTGGGTTGAAGTAAACTTCTTCAACATAAATGCAGCTGGGCACAAGGATTCCCAGTTCGTGCCTTGGGCTAAGATTGCACCAACACCCACTGGGCAGGTGTCTGTAATGACCCAGACTCAGAACTCTCCCCTCTCATCCTCAGAGAGGCTATTGGGGATGTCTGTCATATCCATACAATCCCAACCTCCACTCTGGGCTCCCGGAACTCCGAAACTGATTCCAGAGCCCTACTTCCCTTCTGTCACCTTCTCCTTGCCAACACCTATGCTCCCGACTCCGGACCTCCGCTCTGGAATCCCATTCACATCTCCATCTCCAGATCCTCTGGTCTTAGCTCCAACCTCGGACTTTGACCCCACCTCCGCTTATACCCATTGTATTGGTTAGCTCATTCCATTTAATTATGTTTGCCAATATTCCGGAGTTTAACTTCTGAGTTCAGACTTTCTGGACTTATGTTGGACCTTGCAACTATTGCATTGCTCCATTCAATTCTGCTATACTCCCTCATTCCTATTTGGGCTGCTGCTTCCTTTCTATTCAGTCAGCTGGCCATTCCCCACTCCCATCCTCCTTCCTTCCTCCTTGGGCCTTGGCCCTTCACTCCTCCTTTGGGAAACACCATTGAGTCAAACCCTTGACCCTCGGTGTTGTTCCTCTTTCCAGCTCCCTTTGTCTCCTTTCAGAGTACCCTCGATTCCGGACCCCTCCTTATATACAATGTACATAGTAACTTGTAACCTCAGTCCGAAATCGACCTGAAATGCCCCCAAGAGACTTTCCCTCTGCTAGATCCGAAATTAGGGACCCCCAGGACAACCAGCAATGGCACAGCGCTCCGGCTGAGTCGCTGAGGCCAAGGTCCTTCCACGCTAAGTCTCCAATTCCACTCCAGAGTCGTCTGAATCCACCCATTCTAACAGACGTCCCATATAATGGGCTTGAGAATTGGCATCTTGCATGCGAGATTTTTAATCTCGTCGAAACACTTCTGGTGCAGTGGTGTCCAGAAGAAAGGAAGGTAGTTGGTGCATATGTATGGTCTGCAAAGGACCAGTATATGCACTGACATTAGGCATGAAACAGGCAAGGTATTCAATGAGACCTAGGAAGCACAAAACTTCCCTATGGTCTTGAGGCTTGTACCAAAGGTGCAGCTTTGCCATCTTGTCGGAGTCCACATGGACTCCATGGCCATTGACCT